CGCCGTTTAAACGCCGATTTAATGACACTGACACTATTTAGTACTTCAAAAACCTGCAAGCGATTTTTCTTAAAAGTCTTAGTTCAGATTTTATCGTTGATAAAGCAAAATAATGCCTTTGTTTAATAAAAATCTGTAATTATAACTCCATAATAAAAACATTTAAACCAAAATGACGGCACGGGATTGTACATGTACAATGTAGTCTTTACTCTCCTGGACAACACTGCCAATTTTCGTGATGAATTCTTGTTCAGGGATAAAGTTACGCCCCTTACCGATTGCTATCTCACCTCAAAATAGAAAGGTGTTAAATTGACGATTAAGGCTTCGAGTTGCCATGCTATTACATTGCAAAGAAAAATATAAACGCCGATATTTTATATTTTCGAGGGTTTTTCATTGTTTTAAATCAGCAAAAGGATAAATGTATTATTGAATAGATGCAGGAAAAACTCATTTTCGGTATTTGGACGATAATAAAAGGTTACAATTACCTCGAGAGAAAGAAGACCTCCACCAAGGCAGCTCATTTCTCATTTTCAATTAATTAAATAGTTAATCAATAGGTTAGTGGCTAAATTTAATTGATTCCAAGTTAGCCCATTTATGGCCTATCCTGAACATTTTATTAATTCTGTCCATAGCCATGAATTTTTTTGCGTTTGGGTGTCAACTAGAGAACCAATAAAGGGGAAAAACAGAAACTCCTTCGGGAAATGTTAACTTTCAACATTACAGCTGAAATGTCCGTCATATTTGCGCGAAGATACAATGATTTATACATGGCTTCCTAGCATCCTCAATCATTTTTACAGCAATACCGCAAGCCATTACATTTAGCCGCAGCATTGTATATAAAACTAAGTAACCTGACGCACAGATACCAGCTACATGTACACTATAACAGGGATAGATCTCTCTAAGGCCTTAAAGGAAATAGCCTTTGTGATCTCCAGCCTTGGGTTTGTGACTGCATACGCGGACTTGTTGGTGCGAACGTAAATCGGTCAGCTTACCAGTATGAAAAAATGTTGGTAGATTTCGTCACGGTAATGTGACAAACAGTTCGACAGGTGCAATCAATCCGACAAAAAACTTTTAAAATCATTTTATCTGGGCTCAAACATTTAAACCAAACTTAAAAATCATGCAACAGAACTTTTTCTTGTTCCAATTGTTCGACCATATCGTCAGCAAGACTCGGTATATTTTCAAGCCAGTGAAATAGCTTCTGCATGCCTCCACTCTTTGTCAGTTGTTGTGCTTTAGATGGCTATCGTCAATGAGAAAGAAACAATTGAACCCGATACTTTATCTGGAAGCAAGACGTACCTGTCATTTCTTTTGTGCCCGCTGACAATAATACTGCTTATTGACATACAGTTTAGTTTCAGTTCTGTAAATATTATGGCTCTTATGTTTAAAACAACACAAACACTGATTGGTGTCTTTATCAGTACTGAATTTATTTCTTATCAAAAAATTGTTTACTTCTCTATAGTGGACAATATTTTTTTAAAACAAAGTTCATATCTTCTTGCCTTCTGGAGATCTTCTGGAGGCAAAATAATAAATATTGCTACTTTTTATGAATAAATAGTTTATTTGCAAGGTCAATGTCGTTTTAAATTGCACATGTACTGAAATAAATTATTAATAAATTATAAAATGTTTTTCAGCTGTCACAAGTTTGTCCTGCAATTTTGATAGTGGCAGCTGTGGTTTCATTACTGATGTTGACACAAATAGTGTCAACCACATGTGGAACTTGTTCAAGGGCAGCACACCGAGTGGTTACACAGGTCCTTCCAGTGACCACACTTCAGGCAGTGGATACTATTATTATGCAGAAACTTCACATCCAGTGAGTCTTTCAAAAGATTTTTTAGTTATGACTCTGATTGAAATTGGGGTTTATGTGATTTTATTCTCTGTGCATACCAAATGAAACAGCTACATGTAACTGTCCCAAAATGTAGGTTAAACCTGGGACTCAGTAATAGTGATTATACATTTTTATGTACAGACACAGATGTGTCTGTACATATTGCCATCACCTGCGTCTGTCGTCGCCGATGCCGATGCCGATGCCGATGCCGATGCCGATGCCGTCGCCGGCGCCGTGCACTTTCCTTGTAAACACGATAAGTGGAGGGCAGTTTTACTTTTTGGCTTAATATTTACAGAGCTGATGAATATTCATAAAACGCAGGTCAAGTTCGAAAATCAGCATGATCGGGCCATTTTAAGGGAAGTTATGCTGTTTTTTCACTTTTTTCAGCATATATGCAACCCTGTAAACACATTTTAAGGAAAACCGTTAGGCCTGTTGTCATGAAACTCACAGGAGTAATCAGTCTTATAAAAACACAGGTCAAGTTCGAAAATCAGCATGATCGGGCCACTGTTTTAGTAGTTATGCTGTTTTTTT